TCGTCATCATCTGTCTTGCGTCCACCCATACCGCGTTGGTGTCCAGTCCGAGCCTGACTGTTCTTCACCTTCCTACATACATACATGGTCGGTGGGTGGGGCCCTGTCTGTTCACGCGCGCGCGAGCGAGCCGAGACACAGACGTACAACAAAACGTACGTGCAGACAGGGTTGCCATGGTGAGAGCGAATGGCGCGGTTCACGCCTCGCAGGGTTCGGGTTCGGGTTCGGGTTAGGGTTAGGGTTAGCAAGGGTTAGGGTTAGGGTTGGGGTAGGGTTAAAATTAGTCTTGTTGTGTCTGTATATGCCAGCGTTGCAGGGTTCTGCGCTGAGGTCTGGCCCCAGCGCCGACGAGTAAGACTCAGCCCCGTACGCTGACCTAGGGTTAGGGTTAGGGTTAGGGTTAGGGTTAGGGTTAGGGTTGGGTTAGGGTTAGGGTTGGGGTTAGTCTTGTTATGTCTATATGCCAGCGTTGCAGAGTTCTGCGCTGGGATCTGGCCCCAGCGCCGACGAGTAAGACTCAGCCCCGCACGCCGACCCCACCAAATGCCGCCTCAGGGCGCCAGCCACCTCTTACACGCGGCCGGCGCCCTCTCGCGGCAAAAGGGTCGAGCGAGCGGGCAGAGTCGCGATGTCTGCGCACCACCCGCGTGCGCCGATGGGCGGCACACTCAGAGACTAGAGAGGCCCTGTCACGCCGCCAGTAGCGTTCCGCACTCCCCACGCCACCAAATGCCGCCTCAGGGCGCCAGCCACCTCTTACGAGCGCGGGTGCCGCGTATAGTCCGTTTCCGGTGGCCACTACCGGGCTCGGTCCCCTCGCTGCGGTCGACTCGGCGGACCGGGCGGCGCGCAAAAAGCACATTGCGCGGGCCAAGGCATCGTCGCGGGCCTGTCGCGCGCTCAACCTGGCCAAGAAGGAGGACAAGTAGGCACCAGATGGGCCTGAGAAGGGTCTTCGAGCAGAAACGCAGGCCGTTCATGCTCGCCATCAAAGCAGCTGCGTCATCCGGCGGCCGCCTGCGCTAGAAATGATCGGCACCAGAGCCGGGAGGTGCGCGCGGTCGGTCGCGGGGGAGCGCAATGCGATGGCCTGAGCGAGGACGCCTCTGTGCGCCCGCGCGTTAGCCATGTCTGGGGAGGTGAACGCGTCCTGTTGAGTGGTGGGATGTCGTGTGTGTGTGTGTTCGCCGCCTATATGCTCTATCCTGCGGCAAGACGGACGTGTTTTGACAATCAAAATCTACCTCAAAATTTGCGACCGCCCCTCGAAATTTGCTGATCAAAATTTGCGGTGGCCCGGATCGCGAAACCTGATGGTTTGGCCAAGCCCCGGGCCGGCGGCCACAGTATCTGACCCCCCCCCCCCCCACCCAACGGTGGGCGCGCGATACATCCGCGCAACTCAATATCTCTATATAGAGGGAGCGGACCCTGAGTTGAGGAAATCGGGGGACGCGACCCACTTCGCCACAGACGGTCCCGCGCCTCGCCACTATGACGGGTAGACGACCGCGGCTCGTGTGCGTCTACCCGTCTTTGTCCGGAGTGAATACTCCAACGCGCTCGTCGGTGACGGCGTCCCCCGATTTCGCCGCGCTCGGCGAACCTCGACAGCGCTTTCGGTGGCATGCAGCTCTTTGCGCCTGAAGCCTGGAGAGCAGCTCCTCTGCTGCTCATACGCTCTGCACAGTTGGCACAGCCTACTGTGCGGCTGCCACAGCTGTGACAGCGATGGGCTCGCCCTCACTGGCCCTCAGTCACTCGTGCTGCGGCTTGTGTGAGCGACACTGCTCGGCGACTGCCGGCACACTGTGAGACCATGGGTGTGAGAGGTAAAACCACGCTACCAGCGCTTGGTCACATCAGCCCTGAGGTCATATCCTTCTCCTCTGTTGATGGTAACACTTGTCTACTCGCTGGAGCCGAGCAGGAGGGCTTGGCGCACAACCCCTGTTCAACTCAGGGTCCGCACCCCGTAGGAAAGCCGTACTACCGCGACGCAGTAACCCGTGCGGGTGTGAGACTCCCTCAAAACCCACACGAAACAAAACAAAACCTTGAGGCGGAGGTACAACATACCGTAATTCGGCCCCTTATTTTTCGCATCGGCAGGCGACCGAGAGGAGCAGCCTCTTGCCTCCCCGCGGCCTTCGCTCACTCCGACATGAGGGCCTCGAAGCGCTCGATCGCCTCGCGGCTCTCGGCGCTGATCGGGTCGTTCGTGTACCGGAAGAAGGGCTCGCCCTCGTTGCGCGCGGGCGTGTAGAGGCCGAGCCCGCGCAGCCGCGAGTCGCGTTGTGACTGCAGCTCGAGCTGTCCCGCCTTGCGCCAATGCACCTCGTCCGGCCCGTCGGCGAAGCGCAGCAGGCGCGCCGAGGCGAAGATCGAGGCGAGCGGAGTGTCGGAGGAGATGCCCGCCGCGCCGTGCACCTGCATCGCTTGGTCGGCGATCTGCTGCACCGTCTTGGGCACGAGCGCCTTGACGATCGAGAGGAGGCGACGCGTCTCGCGGTCCGTGTTGCCGCGCGTGTCCATCAGCTGCGCCGCCTCGCGCACGAGGTGCCGCATGCCGTCGATGTCGGCGCGGCACTTCGCGATGCCGTCGATGACGGTGTCGCGCTTGGCGAGCGGCTTGCCAAAGGCGACGCGCGACTCGGCGCGCGCGCACATGAGCGAGAGCGCGCGCTCGGCCTGGCCGATGGCGCGCATGCAGTGGTGGATGCGGCCGGGGCCCAGCCGCCGCTGCGCAATCTCGAAGCCCTTGCCTTCGCCCCAGAGGATGGCGGATTGCGGCACACGGCAGTCCTCGAACGCGATCTCCATGTGGCCCTTTGGCGGGTCGGCGTCGCCAAACACGGTCAGCGGCCGCACGAGCCGGATGCCGGGCGTGTCCATCGGCACGAGGAGCATGGACTGCTGCTGGTGGAGGTTCGGGTTTTCCGGGTCCGTCTTGCCCATCAGAATCATGATTTGCGTGTGCAGCGAGCCCGCGCCGGTGCACCACCATCTGCCAGGGGGGGGGGGGGGGGGTTGAGGGGTTGAAGGGGGTGAGGGGGGAGGGGTGAGAGGGGGGAGGGGGCGGGCGGGCCGGCCCACTTGCGGCCGTTGATGACGTAGTCGCCCCCCTCCTTGCGGATGGAGATGGAAATGTTGGTCGCGTCGCTCGACGCGACGTCCGGCTCCGTCATCGCGAAGCAGGAGCGGATCTTGCCCTCGAGAAGCGGCTTGAGCCACCGCTCCTTCTGCTCGTCGCTGCCAAACCGCGCCAGCGTCTCCATGTTGCCCGTGTCCGGGCTGGTCGTGTTTGTCGCCTGCGCCGCCATCTCAGCGTGGATGGACGTGCCCATGATCTCGCAGAGGTCGGCGTACTGCAGGTTGGTCAGCCCGGCGCCGTGCCTCCCATCCACCAGCAGGGCGCTGTCCACTGGCAGGAAGAGGTTCCAGAGCCGCGCCGCCTTTGCCTTGGCCATCAGCTCCACCAGCAGCGGAGGGTGCACCCACTCCGTCTTGTCTGCAAACGCGTGGTTCTGCCGCGCAAACTCCTGCTCGTTCGGGTAGATCTCGGCGTGCATAAACTCGATCAGCCGCCCCTTGAGCGCCTCGTACTCCGCCTCCCCCATCGCCGCCCCGGCCGCACCCGCAGCGGCGGGCGCCCTTGCGGCGGAGGCCGAGGCGGGCGCCGTGGAGGCAAACGCGGCGCCGGCGCCGGCGGTGCGCGTGAGGCGGTCGGGCGAACGCTCGTACCGCTCGGCAATGTCGACGCCCAGCCCCGCCACGGCGCCCGCCATCTTGCCCCACTTCGAGCCGTCGGCGGAGCTCGCCTGCCCGTCGAGCGACCGCTTGTACACGCCCTGGAGGATGGAGGCCATGCGGAAGCAGCAAAAGGCGCGGTAGTAGTCGAGGTGCGAAGCGACGGAGGTGAGGCCGGTCGCGCTGACGTACGCGTCAACCAGCGCCTGCTCCGCCGGGATGCCCGCCGCCGCCGGATCGGCACCAAAGCCGGAGAACGCCTTTGGCCATGCCGTCGGCGTGTCGTACGGCAGCGTGGCGAGCGCCAGATCGGTGGCGGGGTCGCCGAGCGTCGCCAGCTCCCAGTCGAGCATCGCGACCACCTCGGGCGAATCGTGCGCGAAGATGCAATTGTCGACGCGCAAGTCGCCATGCACAAGCGTGGTCAGCGCGTCGTCGCCGGCGGGCAGCGCCTCCGGCAGCCACGCGAGCAGCTTCTCAAAAGCGGCGTTGGACTCCGTCTCCGCGGCACGGTACTGCGACGTCCACACCTTCGTCTGCCGCGCCACGTAGCCTCCCTCCTTCCCAAAGTCGCCAAGCCCGGCCGCCTTGTAGTCAACAGTATGCAACGCGGCGATCGCAGACAGGAAGCTGCCGTACAGCGCGCTGCGCTCCTGGGGCGAGGCGGCGGTGCCCATCTTCGGGTCGTCGAAGAAGCGGCCAGAGACGTAGTCGCACACCAGGAAGGGCGTGCCGAGCACCTCGGGGTCGTCGCAGAACATCCGCATCGCGGGCACCGGCACCGCCGTCGCGCCGAGCGCCGACATGCAGCGGAATTCGCGATCGACGGCGTGGGCGCCGCGGAGGAGCTTGCCAGGCGGCTGCTTGCGGAGCACCAGTCGCGGACCCGCCTCGAACGACAGCAGGTACGTCGGGTTCGACTGACCGTGCGAGAACTGAGACACGGCGACCTTCTCGGCGGCCGACCAGATCGCGCCGGCGTCCGCGAGGAGGGGCAGCAGCTTCGAGACGTCGAGCTCGTGGCCCTGCCGCACGCACGTTGTGGCGGGCGCGAGCGGCTCCGCAGCCGTTGAAGCAAAGAGGCGGCCCAGGGCGGGGCCGCAGCGTCGCGGCGAGACAGCATGTCTAATCATGGCCCCCCCGGGCACCAGCTGTATTCACAGCCAGGTTCTGTGTGTTGGGTGAGCCTGTTTGTGTCTGTGTGTCGCTCGTGCGTGTCGTCATCATCTGTCTAGCGTCCACCCATACCGCGTTGGTGTCCAGTCCGAGCCTGGCTGTTCTTCACCTTTCTACCCGTTTGAGCGCGGAGGCTCAGAGCCGGAGGGTGGCTGGCTCTATGTAGGACTGTAAAGGATCAAAACACTGCTGCACGCAAACGCTCGCAAGGGACGTAGGACCGTGACAAGATTGAGCACAAGGAAGCTCGAGAGTATTGACATTGGGGGCCGGACGTGTCCGCGACGCCCTGGGCGCCCTGCCCTATGGAGCCCCGTTTAAACGCGGAGCTCCGTCATCATGGCAAGGGCGCTGGCGTGATATTCTCGGGCGAGCCGCACCCGGACGACAGCGTTTGCATCTTGCGGCCAACCAGCGAAGACTCTTGCATCATGGACCGTCGCCCTGTGCGGCCCAGCCGGCACGTGCTACGCGGGTGGCATCTTCTTGCTGTCCATGGAAGTGCCCACGAACTACCCCTTCCGTCCGCCGAAGCTGCGGTTCATCACGCCCGTCTACCACCCAAACGTCAACATGCGCACCGGTGAGATCGATCTTGACATATTGGGCTCGCAGTTTTCCCCCACCCTGACGGTCCTCCATTACGTGATGTCGCTGAGCGCACTGCTCTCTGCGCCCACCTTTGACCTCTCTTGCTGGCAAGTCCTGCACCACGAAGCCGTCAGCGAGGCCGACCGCGCGGCGATGCACGCGCAGATTCGCCTCGGGCAGAGGGATCTGCCGGCGTGGGAGGCCAACGCTCGGGCACACACGGCAAATCACGCGCTGCCGCTAGCTGTCAGCGACACTGGCGTGCTGCGTATGCTGCACGGCAGTGCCGCGTTCGCCCTGCGAGCGGGCGAGCGGGCGAGCGAGCGAGCGGACGGCCACATGCGCCTCGGTTCCTTCGTGGCGTTCCTGCTGTGGGCGGCGAAGCACACCCCGCTGGCGCTGCCGAGCGAGGTGTGGCTAGCGCACATCATCCCGCTAGTGCTGCGCCCTCGGATTACGCCATCGCGGGCCCTCGCCGACGCTGCGGAGGTGCCGGAGGAGGCGTTCGAGCGCTACTGGCGCGCAAGCAGAAAGGAGTGTTCTCGCCTCCGAGACGGAGAGGCACATGAGAAGGTTTAGAGAGTCATGCTACGGTGCCTTACAGTATGTGTGGGTTATACCCCCACTACGGCTATAGCACTTACTACCCCCACTACCCGCTGACGGCCCAATCGCAATCCGCACCCACTTTTGTGCAGTTGGGCCATTTCGGATTTTAGCTCCATATCTTAGCCATAGTTTTGTTTGTGGATTGGATACAGGTCAGGGTTGAATAACACACAGGTGTGGCACGTGTCTTCAGTTACCCGTAGGGCATGCAGATACTGCAGATTCAGATGCACCTTGCACGCTCTCACACCTGTGTGTTAAGCGGCTCTCATCATGTCCCAGCTGTATTCACAGCCAGGTTCTGTCTTGTGAGCCTGTGTCTGTGTGTCGCTCGTGCGTGTCGTCATCTGTCTAGCGTCCACCCATACCGCGTTGGTGTCCAGTCCGAGCCTGGCTGTTCTTCACCTTTCTACCTACCTACCTACCGCTAGGTTCTCGAGTTGGATATCCTTTGGCCGCGTTGGGTAGCGAGGATACACAGGGCACAGGCAAACCACCGGACCGGAGCCGGCTAAGCGACTCCATTGAGAACGGCAATGCACTTAGCCGTGCACAATGCCGCTCTCAAGAACGACCGAAATAAATAAATAAATAAAACGGACACCTCTACTAGGAGATGGGTAGAAAGGAACAGGTCCCCGCCCAAGAACGACCGAGATTCGCTGCCGCCTCCTAATTCTTGCTTGGTGGTCCAACGTCCAAGTAACCTCGTCGAGGTACTGGGCCCCACCACCGGAACTCCACCACCACCCACCGCGCCAATCCACGCCACCCCACCTCTCGCGAGGCTTCTCGGCGTGGCGCAGAGGCCTTTGCGCACCACATCACGCGGAGAAGGGCGTGTCCTCGAGGAGGCTGCGCTGGCCAGCGAGGCGCTGGCCGGTGGCGGCGGGCGACCTGCCCGTGGCGGGGCAGCCCAGAGGGGCGGGGCGACCCTCGCGTGCCGCGAACGGCGCAGCCTCAAAGGTGGTCATGACGCCGAAGTGGTCCGACAGCCAGTGGCCCTGTGGCGGGTGTTGCGTCAGCCATCAGGCGGGAAGGGCCGAGGATAGGCCGGGAGCCGGGGGCTGAGGGCAAGCTGAGGCCGTCGAGGGCGCGAGGGTAGATACGAGCAAGGGTAGTGGCACAGAGCGTCTGGCGTGTAAAATAGTGGTGGTAGTAGTGAGTAATCGCCTGCTCCGGCTCGTCGAGCGCGAGGCGCGACTCGAGAGGCGTGAGGCGCGACGCCTGGCGGGTTGTGTCGCGGACATGTCAGGGACGCGCGCCGAGCCGCACCCCGGGCACGGTGGGAAGGAGTCGACCTCGCCGCAGAAGATGTAGTCGAGACGCGTGGCGGCGCCGTCGCCCGGCGAAAGCCAGCCCTCCCTCACTAGCGGGTTGCGGGTGCCTGAAGCGAGGGAATGGTGGTGCCCGTTCGAACGGGGTACACCAACGGCGGCGCGCGCGTCCTACGAGACAGTGGCCGTGTACCTCGGCCACACTCGGCTGCATCTCGGCAATAAGCTCGCGCGCCGTCCCACGAGTGGCCCGGCCCGCCGGACGGCCTCCACGCGTCGACGAACCCGAAGCGGGAGGCGAGCGGCGCCCACTCACCGAGCTCGGGCGAGCTGTTCAGGTCGCCGCAGAGGAGGGCGCGTGCGCCGCGCGCCTCCGCCAGCCGGCTCGCCTCGAGGAAGAGCTGCTGAAGCTGCGTCTTGCGGTGCACAGAGGTGGAAGGTATGGAGCTGATGCCTGCGCCCGAGAGGAGCCGCGAGAGGTCGAAGAGTTGGTCCCCGCTCTCCGCGTTGGCGTGCGTGTTGACGACGAGGAGCCGAGAGCCGTCGCCCCGGAGCCGCAGCGGGACGGCGAGGGCGCCGCGAGGCCGGAAACGGTTGAGCAGGTCGCCCGCCTGGTCCTCAAAGGGGAAGGCGGTCGCGAGGCCGTCCCGCTCCAGCGTCGCCCGCTTGTGCAGGATCACCAGGCCAGACTGGACCGAGCCGAGCAGGAAGCCGCCGATCGTGGTCTGCGGGCCGACATGGTCGAGCGCCAGCCGCATCATGCGCCCGGCGCGGCAGCGGAACTCATCGGCGGTGAGCACGAAGGATGCGTCGTACATGTCGGAGAGCGCGTGCGCGTACCGCTCCCGCACGCCGTCCGAGACGACCTCCTGAAGGCAGATGACGTCTGGCGCCAGCTCCCGCAGCTTGCTGATCTGGCCAGCCAGCCGCGCCGAGCCGTCGAGCGTGCCAGCCAGCGGCGTCGGGGTGGGAGGGCCGCAAAAGACGTTGTAGGTGAGGACGGACAGGCGTGGCGCCGGAGCCGACGCGGCGAGGAGGCGGAAGATGGCCATGGCTGGGCAGGTGCGGCAGGGAGCAGGTGCGGCAGGCAGTCGCAAGCCAGACGAGCAGGTGGAGGCCGCACCTCAAACTCCGGCAAGGGCCGCGGCGAGGAGGGTTGGACGATGATGTCACGTGTCGGATGCGATTCCGTTTTGCTTCTCCAGCGATGATCCCAGGAACACAGCGCGCATTTCTTCTGATCCCGCCAAGCTAGGATCCCTACAAGACGCTGGCCGCGCCCTCCCGACACGTACATGTCGCGCCGACGCCTGGCTGCGTCTGGCCCTCGCACGTTCACGAGCGCGTGGCTCAGCTGGCGCCCGCGCGTCTGCCTCTTTCACGGGTTCCTATCCGCCGACGAGGCCGCGGCGCTCATCGCTCTGGCCGACCGGCAAGAGGCGTGCGCTACCCACAGCGCCGGCGCGGCACGCACGAGCAGCGGGTGCTGGTTGCCGCGCTGCGACGCGCCCGCACGCGATGATCGAATGCGCATTTCTCCCCCACCCTTCGTGTAATCATGTAGTCCCCAGAATCGCTGACGTGTATCGCTTGTCATGTGAGAGAGTGCGTTGTGTTCTTCCAGTGCGAGCCAGTCCCGTGCCCAGTGTAAAAAGAAAGAAATAAAACAGACACCCCAAGGGAGGGATGGGAGAACGGCACGCCGCCACCACACAGGGATTTTAAGGAGAGGGGTGTGGTGCCCAGTGTTATGCGAGGGAGCTTGGTTGAAAACTTCGTCTTATCCTTTCGCCTGCGGAAACGACCAGGGACCCCTAGATGTCACCCCGGAAGCTCCGACGAGTTGCCACCTCCAGTGCAGCTCGGGTCCTGGCCTGCGGCGCGGATCCTCCCCCCGCCGGGCTAAACCCGTTCAGCGCGGTATATGCCGTCCGGGTCACCCCCAGCCACTCACAACTGCCCCATAGCCTCCCCGGAGCCACCCCCAACTCTCGCCACCGCCACGTGGCGCGCTGTCCACCCCCTGGCATTGCGCAGCATCTTGGCGCTGAGTGAGCGTGGTGTCGGCGGCAGGGAAAAGGGCGGGCTGCGCGGCGGCAAGCCGAACAAACCCAACAACTGGCGGAACTGCAGGCAGCGGCGGCTGGCCACTGGCACCAATGCGACGGTCGGTCCCAGCTGGCTCGCTGCACATCTCTCGTATATTGCGAGCGGTGCGACCGCGGTCAGCACAGGCGCTGCCGCCGTCTCACGACCTGCACCGCGCGCAAGCGGTCGCCCAATGGGGTGAACAAGCGAGAGGTCGGTGCGCGCTGCGCAAGTAGCAGGCGCTCCCGTACCCCACGCCTCCTGACCCTCTGATTCCCCTCGCGCCGCAGAGCGTGCGGCAAAGCGCGCGGCCAAGGCCCGCCCGGCGGCCAACGGACCCGTCCTCCCGTGGCACCGACGGCTGCGGCCCGACAACTCGCCCGCCGTGCAAGAGGAGGGCGAGGAGGAGGGCGAGGAGGAGGACGAGAAGGCTACATGCGCCGTTTGAGGCCAAACGGTGACGGCGACGGCACAGGTGGCGGCGCCGCCGGCGCTGTCTCGGCGGCGGCGTGAGTCGCCGAGCAGGGCCGTGGCCCGCGGGTAGGAGCAGAGGTGGACGAGCTGCCAGCAGTCCGCCCTGCTTCTTTGGCAACCCCGGGCCCGAACACGGTGTTCACACCCCGTACAGGGGAACACTGTCCGTATTCTCTGCCATCGCTCAGGTCCCAACCCATGTGCTCGTCCGCGCAGGGAGGGCTCGGTCGCGCCCCCCAGAGTGAGGGGTGTTCGGAACAACATAGCTAAAAAACCCGCAGAGAAATGCGCTTTAACGGAGTAAATTAGGCGGCTCCGGTGGTGTGCCGATGAGTGTGCTAGCCGGTTGAAAACAACACTCGGCTCTCTCACACTCTCACACTCTCACACGGCCGCGTCGGGGGGGGGCGGGGGGGGGGGGGGGGGCAGATGGTAGGGCCTAGGACCAAAAGAGAGAAATCAACGACGGATCTCGGCTTCTCCACATGACCCAAGCAGAGTTACGCCGAGAGGCGAGAGCAAGGGATCGGTCGGCAGGCTGCAGCGACGTCGTCGCAGAACGAGGCAGAGGTTAAGGAAAGGAAAGGAAAACAGACGGGGTGCGAGAGGAAAACCTTGGGTCGACGTTTTCTTTTTGAATGATGAAAGACAGGCGGTTTCCGCCCGGTTTGGCCGCGTGGAAACATCTAGACTGGCCATGCTCAAGGCTGCCTCGCTTCTGTTCGTCGCTCTGTCGACGTCTGCCCTGCCGGTGCGTCGCTCCGCCCAGCCGCACTTACTCACATGCAGGCTTGAACTTACACGCACCACACGAGTGCGCAGGCAGAAACCGTCGACGACATCAACCCGACCGCTCGCAGCCTCGCCTTTGCGCCCAAGCCCGTTCCTCCCGTGCCCGACGTGGTCGACGACCCCGCCTGGCTGATCGCCACCTCTGGCTTCTGTTCGAACCTCAACGTCGTGATGAAGGAGCGCGACGTCGAGGCGAGCGAGACGGAGGGCGACACGGCGGCGCACTTCATGGCCGACATCGCCTTCAACTACTACCCGCAGACGGCGGTCAAGTTCACCGACTTCCCTCACCACCTCGCAAAGACCATCGAGGGCGACGCGGCAGAGGCGGACGCGCTGGTCTCAAGCGCGTGGGACCACAAGAACATCGCGCTGCTCGAGCCGACGTCCACTTGCAGCGCCGACGAGCAGAGCAGCCAGGCGTGGGGCATCTCCGTCTTCAAGGTGGAGGAGCACCGCCCTTGCGCGGACGGCGAGACTGCGTGGGAGGGACACCCCTGCGTCCACTACTCCGGCTACGTGTCGGCGGCTACGTCCAACTTCGTCAACGTCAACGAGGGTCGGTTCGTCTGCCAGCTGTTCGTCGACTCAGTCTCATATGAATGCACAGCCTGGGTTCGTTACCCCCAGTCTTGGGCATTCAATTGCTGCTTAATTTGCGGCCAGCCTCAGTGCCCAGGGCAAATCAAAGGCCAGCCATGTCAATGGTAGTAGCGCCATGAGGCTTCCCGCCAACGAACGACCTTGTCCTCCGTACAGCGAGGCTTCTGACGGAGATGGGCCCTCCCACGGCGCAGGATGCACAGATAAACGAGATTCCCTCCGCGAGATCGAGTGTCTTTTACAGGGATTTTAAGGAGAGGGGTTGTCAAATTCTCTCTTCTGATCCCGCCAAGCTACCCGGGTACAGGGGTAGACGTCCCCGGGTCTACGCCCTTAAAGCTACAAGAGGCTGGCTCGACCTCCTGATCCCGCCAAGCTTCAAGAGGTGGGTTGGGGCCGTGCGTGCACACCCCGTTTACCTGCCTGCTGTATTCGATTCGATCGAGGACTTCGTGGTAAAATTCTACGCAATGATGCTCGAAATTCTTTTTGCCTTTGTCCTTGCTTCTTCGCGATTTCTTGGTGTGCTGGCCCTCCCTAGAATTCACAGCCATTGATTGATGCAGCAGAAAAAGGTCGGTACAGTCCGCACCAACACACAGACACAACCCATTCCCTTCCGCTCCGAAATGTCAGCGGCCATGGCGAGGCGCGGCGCCACACGCACAGCCTTCTCCTCCTGCGCAGCCGCTTTCACCGCAGCCGCGCGCAGCGCGCTGGCGTTGCCCAGAGAGCACACAGTTCTTGAGAGAAGAGGACGAGTCGTCGAGCCATCCTGCCGCCTCCGTGCCCTCACTTCCAGGGGCGTAGAAGGGAGCAGAGACCCCGGGGCACACGCACGAAGCACCGCTGGCACCCGCTCCCACGCCCAATCGCGCCTCGCCTCGCCCCGCAGGCTCAGTTTGATCGAGCAGCTCCGCTGCACTGCTGGCGCGCTACTGTCGCTCCTGTCATGGCCTCCTCCAGCCCCCTGTACTGCTGGGACAACTGCCTGCAGAACCGCGACGGAGAGGGCGCGATGATCGAGTGCGACGAGTGTGGCAACTGGGTGCACAAGAAGTGCCACCTCGGCTTCTTCGGCATCTCGAGGATGGGCGCCGGATGGGAGCGCAAGCACTTCATTGGCGTCTGCTGCCAGTCGAAGCAGGCGCGCCGCGCTGCGGCGCGAGGGAGGGGCGGGCGCGGTGCTCACTCCCGACTCCCTCACCTCGCAGGATCGGTGCCCCGGCGGCGACGACTGCCCCGGCGCCGGCAAGTGCAAGGCGACGCACCATTGGTGCAGCCGCAACCGCCACTGGGTGCCGACCGGCAAGATGCTCATCAAGCGCGGCACCGGCAACGCCTACGCCATGGAGTGCGAAGCGTGCCGGGACGGGCGCGACGGCTACATCACTGCGTTCGGATGTGGGTGAGCCTAACGCGCTTCGTATCCTTCACTTGCTCGCGCAGGAAGGCGATCTGAGTCGCCACATGTCGCATGCGTTTCGAGGAGGTGTTGCCCTCGCTAAGGAGCACGGCCGCCCTATTGTCGCAGAAGAGCGGCATTGTGCATCCGAGGTCCGACTTATTGCCCTTGTAGTCGGGTAGGTCCTCGGCCATGAACTTGATGGTGTCCGAGACCGCGATGGCCGCTTGTGTGGCCTTGGTCGCAATGGCGTGGGGCAAAAGCACTTGAACTGCCGGTGCGTCGAAAAAATCGCGATGGCCGACATTTTGGCGTCATCTCGAACCTCGGGGCACGCGTGGCACAGGCGCTCGAAGAGGACGCCCGATCCGATCGGGATGTCGGCGAGCTCGTTCAGCCAGGCCGAGTTGTGGCCAAGGAATGGCGACTTGGGGCACTCGGCCTTCTTCTTGGCGTCCCATCCGCCGCTACCAAGCTGCTGCACTTGGGGTGGGACGACGGGGGTAGACCGTGCTGTTGCTGTGAACAGCTGGGGCACGCGCCTTATCTGGCCCGGCCCCTTGGGGACTTGCGGCTCGGGTGCGACCTCTAACCGCGGGTCGCAGACCGTGCTCTCGGTGTCCGATGACATGGCGCCTCTTCACGATCAGCACGCCAGTCTGTTCACACCTCTCTTCTGTTCACTTCACGGAGTGACAGGGGTTCGTTACCCAGTTTAAGAAAGGCTTCAAGAAAACACACACACAGAAAAACACCCTCATTTACAAACGACCGGAGCCAGCGCGCTTGTGGCTTCCACTCACAAGCACGCTTTTCCACGTCTCCGTCCCCGCTCTACCTAAGGCTTGCCGCTCGAACCAATGGCGGTGGGGACGGAGGTGTCGCCTCCGTCCCCGCCGTGGAGGCAGCGCCTCTCTCCCCGCTCGACCTATAGCGGTCGGCGGACTCGAGTTCGAGTGGGGACGGCGGCTCATATTGCTAAATATAAAATTCCCCCACCCGGGTGGGGGAACATAAAAATACCTCAGGGTGCTGTGCGGGTGTGAATGCAAGAGCGCTGCGCTGAGAACGAGCAGCTATTAACAACGAAGGCGCTCTCAAAAATAAAAAAATTTTAATGGCCGCTCTTCTGGGCAGGTATGCAGCCAAAAGTGTTCGGTAGACCAGCCTCTCGGTACACGCCACGGCCCCGGGCTAGGCCCGATGCGTCCGCTACCACGCTCCAAACATGTGCACCCTCCTGCTGCAGGTCGCCATCAAGGAGCCGTCCTCGTCGTGTACGTCGTGCTGCCGTCGCGTGTACCGAGATGCCTCGCAACCGAGGCCTCGGCCGAACGGGCAAGAAGCATAAGAAATCAGCCAACGACAACATCCACAGGCAGCCCAAGGCGACCACCGAGCCCACGGTCGCCACCGAGGCGCCGGAGCCGCTCGCCGCGCCCGACACCTCGCCGGAAATGGAGGTCGAGCCGGCAGCGCCCGACGCGCAGGCGCTCGCGACAGGTGCGGCTGCTCGGCGACGTCGAGCGTGGTGCCCGACGGCTCAGGAGCCTTCTACCATAAACCACTACCACGGCTGCCACCGTCGGCGCCTTCGCTCGAGCTCTCCGAGGCCGCGTTCTGACCTCGTGCCGCTGTTGTCGCTACAGCAGCGACGAGGGCCGCGGCAAGGGGTGCAGCGGCGACGGGCGGGGGGGAGAGGCGCGGCCAGCTACCGGGTCGTTGCCCCCGCCCACCGCGCCGGGCCCCTGCACCCGGAGGCGGCTTGCGGCAGCCTTCCCGTGTCTCCGTGCGACCCGCTTGGGTAGCCGGCCATGTGTGGCCCGCTGCCGGAAAAAATCCGGGGTTTAGCTAGCGTATCTCGGGCCCACTTTAGAGCTAGGGCATGATCTTAGGTGTTCTGGATAGCCCACAAGGGTCTTCTTTGGCATGGTAGCGGTGGTTTTGCGCGAGTCGTTCATTCAAAAATCACCATTTCCCCCACTACCTTCTCTCCCAGTACCCCCGGTACTGCCAGTAGATAGAGAGAAGAAGAGTGGGGAGAGAACAAAACGGAAAAAGAAACGCAGCGCCTCGGCCGGATTCCAAATTCATTTTTTCGATATTTTCTTACCACGAGTGGTGATGAGCGCCTTGCTTCAGAAAAACAATTTTAGGGACTCACGCGCCTTGACCTATCAAGTATCATCACTGCGGCGCCCACACCTCGATCTTCTTGGGAAGCAGCTGGTTCGACAGGTCCTCTCCGTGGCCTAGGCACCCGCTCTCGCCCGCGCCCCAGGTGAAGACGGCCCCGTCGGCAGTGAGGGCGAGGTTGTGGCGGCCTCCAGCCGACAAGGCGACGACGCGCTGGTCAGCCAAGGCCTCGACCTTCTTCGGCAGCAGCTGGCGCTGCTCGTCGCCGTGGCCCAACCGGCCGGCGCCTCCCAGGCCCCAGCTCCAGACGCTGCCATCGGCGATGCGGGCGATGCTGTGGCGGGTTCCGGCCGACACACCGATGACGCGCTGCCCCGCCAAGACCTCAAGCTTCTTCGGCAGCAGCTGGTCCTGCTGGTCGCCGTGGCCTAGCTGGCCTACGCCTCCCCCGCCCCAGCTCCAGACGGCGCCGTCGGCGGTGAGGGCGAGGCTGTGCACATCTCCAGCCGACACAGCGACGACGCGCTGGCCAGCCAAAGCCTCGATCTTCTTCGGCAGCAGCTGGGTCTGCTCGTCGCCGTGGCCCAGCCGGCCCCAGAGACCAAAGCCCCAGCTCCAGACGGCGCCGTCGGCAGTGATGGTGAGGCTGTGGCGGGCTCCAGCCGACACAGCGACGACGCGCCGCCCAGCGAAGGCCTCGACCTTCTTGGGCAGCAGCTGGTGCTGCTCGTCGCCGTGGCCCAGCTTGCCCTCGTCTCCCCCGCCCCAGCTCCAGACAGCGCCGTCGGCGGTGAGGGAGAGGTTGTGGAAGGAGAGGTTGTGGTACTCTCCAGCCGACACAGCGACGACGCGCTGGTCAGCCATAGCCTCGACCTTCTTGGGCTGCCACTGGTCCTGCACGTCGCCGTGGCCCAGCTGGCCACTGCCTCCAAAGCCCCAGCTCCAGACACTGCCGCTGCCGGTGAGGGTGAGGCTGTGGAAATCTCCAGCCGACACAGCGACGGCGCGCTCGCCGCCCAGCGGGGAAGGGAGGCGGGTCGGCGTGTTCAGCCGCGTCACGCCCTCGCCGTGCCCGAGCAGTCCCGGCGTCCAGATCACAGCCTTTCCGCACGACGAGAGCCGCCCCTCGCCGTCGATGAAGAGGCTCTGCCGATAGCCTGCCGCCGCCCTCGCCGGCGGGTTGGACTCGCGCAGCAGCGCAACGAAGCACAACCACCGCACGGCGCAGCTCTCGCCCTCTGGCTGCGCCGGCAGCTCGAAGCCGCGCTCTCGCGCCCACAAGCGGATGCCCTCCAACGCAAGCGAGGCGTGGAAGAGGAGCGAGACGGCCGCGACGCGAGCGATGTCGGCGGGGTCGCAGCGGGAGATGACGCGTGCGAGAAGCTCGAGGGGCAGGTCGGTGAGGGGGCAGTGTGCGGCGGCGGCGGCGGCGGAGGCGAGGCGGCGCGAGCGGCGCGAGCGGCGCGGCGGGGTGGACATCGCGAGAAAAAGAATACCTTGCAATATTTATACCGGTAAAATGATCGGAGTGGGAGTCAGAAATGTGGTCCTTGCGCGAGGGGAGCTCGATAGACTCGAGGGGCCAGGATACGCCGCGAGGAGGACGGAGTTGCGCCGAAAGGCGAAAGAAGCCGCGAGAACAAGGGACCGGCGGGCGGCGGCGTCGCAGGACGAGGCAGAAGAGAACGACGCGACAGAGGAGGAAGTGACAAGGGAGAGAACGACGAGGGTGGGACGACCGCGAGGTGGCATGAAGGTTGCAGCGAGAATCGGCGAGAGACTGCGAAGAGAGATAGGAAGAGGCAGACTCCCTAGGGTGGGCGACGGATAGCGCACCACACACCTCTCCTTAAAATCCCTGTGTGGTGGCGGCGTGCCGTCCTCCCATCCCTCCCTTGGGTTGTCTGTTTTCTTTCTTTTTTTGGAAGGCGTGTGCCGAGTAC